GCTGGCCTGGACGCTGGGCTTCTGCATGATGATTGGATGATCTGTCTGAGGCTGAATCCCTTTTTGATTGACAGCGAAATGAGCGAATCAGCGATCTTGAAATATAAACCACCACCGGAGCATTTTTCAAGTTTCATTCCGTTGTTCCGAGTTGATCTGGAGACTTTTCCAATCCTCTTAGTGACTTTTTCTTTGTTAAAAACGACTAGCGACAAATCTAGCATCTTTTTCTGGTGTTATTGGAGACTGTACTAATGTTTGGAGACTCTGACTTCTGTCGCTCTGCAGTTACTGTACCCAACGAGCAGCGGGTGAAGCTGTGAGCCACTCAACAGTCCCAAAGCACTCACAGGCGGTCACACTAGCCTTGCACAGCAGCCCCAGAGGGTAGAATTTACGTATAAATAAACATTTTATGATGTAGGCCGAAAATGAGCTTCCCCTCCTTGAAAGACCAGCAGCCGCCACTGATCCCTACATGTATGTACTGGACACTGGCTGAATGGTAGTCTGTCTTCCACCCTCATCCATAGCCCTTTTTAAACAGGAATTGTGCAAATTTGCAGGAAAGCCCAATCAGTCTTTTTTCAGCACTGGCAGTATAAAAGCAAAATCGGGGAGTGCGGCAAAATGCCGCCTGCCTACTTTTGTTTATACAGAATGCACCTTTTTCGGGGCAATGGGGGGCGTGAGCAAGTAACAAAACATGTAACTCAGCGTGTGACGTAAACAGTGACGTGGGAGGAAAGCCACGGCTGGTCAGTCCTTCAGTGATTCTCTCATAAGTTGGCCCGTTCTTCACCGTCCCCGTCATCTGGCGGTTAATGGCCTCTTCGTTTGCGAGGGCAAGGAGGGCGTGCAATTCCTTGTCTCCCCAGTTGCTCATCTTTACAGTGTCAGGTTTGCGTTTCCCTCTTGCTACTAGCTTTTCATTCCTGCTATCAGCTGTTTCCTGTTTATCCACCGCCAGTGGGTCGCACGTGCGGCGTCATCAACAGCTCCTCCCACAAGTCATCAACAGCCCCTCCCATGGCGGAAGGCCGCCTCGTTCTTTTTAAACCAAAAAGGTTCCGCCAATATGATTACCCTACGAGGCGCAAAATTGGGCACCTCAGATCAACTCGCCAATCCGGCTCTGTGTGTCTAAACACTTGCAGCTTGCTGGCAAAACGGCCAAACATTCGCGGAAAATCTGGCAGTGTAAAAGGGGCTCATGACTGTCGAAAAGGGGAACATGAAAGAAGTGTGACCCACAATGATTTGGCCTCTTTAACCTGCTCAATAGCTGCCTCGTGCAAAGAGTTGTACACCTGCCAAATATCAGCCCCTTTAGCCTGTTTTCAGATACCCATTTCAAAACCAGCCTCATCTCTTCTTGAAGTGTTTAGTTAAGCTCCTTGGCATTTTTCACAGATGCATGCATTGTAGTGTCCCTGTAGTGTAGGGTCCTAGGCATCCTGGGTGCACAGAGCCTCTGCTAATTATGTCTCTCCTCAGCTCCAGGCTCAGCAGACTGAGAAGACGATCAAAGAGGAGTTTCTGAAGCTTTACCAGTTCCTGCGAGCAGAGGAGGCTGCCAGGATTGATGCAGTGAGGAAAGAGGCGACGCTCAAGAGTGAAGCGATGAACATCAAGATTGTAAATCTGACTGCAGAGATCTCCTCGCTTGAAGACAGAATCAGAACCAAAGAGAGGGAGATGATGGCTGAGGACATCTCATTTATGCTGGTACTCAGTGACTTCCTGTGTTAATGAATATTCTGACCTTAACATTGAATATTTAACTAAACTGGAGGTATTCATTCATCACCCTGTTTTCTCTTTATTTGACAGAATGTCAGATCCACAATGAAGCGGTAAGTTGCTTCCTGTACGCTCTCTATTGAAGCACAGCTGAGTGATAGTCAGGGCTGATGGTAGTTTGAGTCTCATCCACTCTGTGGGGAAAAGATGTGGATGCATCTCATTAAAAAGTTTCAGGGAGAGGCGAGCTAGATCGAAGGTGGGGAAGTCCAATGTGGGCGTATTAAAAACATTTGACTGGTAATCTTTGGCTGCCTAATATTCCTGCAGATCCCAGTACAACCTGCCAGACCCAGAGACTCCATCAGGAGCCCTGATGGACGAGGCCAAACACCTGGGGAACCTGCTGTTCACAGTCTGGAGGAAGATGAAGGACATAATCCAATACAGTAAGCAAAGTGTTTCTGCCTGACTTTATTTCACATTTCAATCTGCAGTGTGCAGATAACTGATGAACTTAATCACCAAACCACACCAGGCTGTTCTGTGAATACACTGTAATACCTTCAGTAAACCTTTAATATAACAAACCTTTTTTTTCTATGTGTTCTTCTCTAAAGCTCCTGTAACTCTGGACCCCAACACTGGCGACCCGCTATTGATTATATCAGAACACATGACCCGTTCGACAGAGAACAAGACTAAGCCGCTTCCTAGAAACCCAGAAAGGCGGCAGACCTGGGACGTTCTCGGCTCTGAAGGGTTTGGCTCTGGAAAACACAGCTGGGATGTGGAGGTGGGGCTGGACTGTTGGGCTGTTGGTGTCGCTGCTAGAACCAAGAATTCAAAAGGGTTCTGGGGCATCCTCAGACATGCTACAGACATTCTGTTAGAATATATTCAACAGGATTATGACAGAATTGACTTCAAGGGTAGAGAGCCCCAAAAGATCAGAGTGCATCTAGATTATGACCAAGGCATACTGTCATTTTTTGACCTTGATAGGAAAAGACCTGTACACACAATCAAACACACTTTCACTAAAACAGTCTATCCATATTTTCGTGGGAATGTGAAAATCCTCCCAGCTGTAGTGTCAGTGAAGATAAGAACGTAGGTGTAATGTATAATGTTTTCAGTGGCTGTGGCAGAGATTTCTAAAATCTAAAAAATAACCCTGATGTCACTGGGTTTACCTCAGCTCGGACTTTCAGCTCATAATTTTGAACAGCCTGCGTCACAAGCTGGAGGGATGGGGTTGGAAAGGCATTTAGGAGGCAATGAGGGTCTGATGGAAGATGCCATTGGAGAGCATTCTGGGAAATGTAGGATCCAGTGCTTTTGGAGGTTGATGCATGCTAGGGACTAAGAATCATTTATTTGAACCTAGCTCATGTGAGTTCCTCAACTGTATAGAGGTACAATCATCTTATTAACATCATTCAGTGTATGTTTTAGTTTGGGTTTTCTAGTTTAATTTTACAATGTACTTTAGATATATTCACTGTTATGATTCAATTTGATGTATCAGCTGTTGTTCGTGCATATTAAACAGATTGTTATAGTAAAAGCATGTAAATATTTTGAGATCAGACTCATTAAAATGATAACAATGATAACCAATGTTTCCTCATTTTGGGGAGTTCTTTTTTGTCTGAACTGAGGGTCTAGACATAGAGGCTGTACAGACTGAAACCAGTCAGAAAACAAGGATTATTTGCTAACATTTTAGATTGCGACCTGCATCATACAGTGTAATTCTTCTGCCAGCCCGTCGTGGTGAAGAGGGAGCTGAGCCAGAAGGGAAAGCTTTTGTTTTATTGGTCCATCTACGTCCCAACCCTCACCTATGGTCATGAACTCTGGGTAGTGACCGAAATAATGAGGTCGCAGATACAAGCAGCGGAAATGAGTTTCCTCCGTGCAGTGGCAGGGCTCAACCTTAGAGATAGGGGGAGGAGTTCTTATATCTGGAGAGAGTTCGGAGTAGAGCCGCTGCTCCTTCGTGTCGAAAGGGGTCAGTTGAGGTGTTCAGGCATCTGATCAGGATCCTCCTGGGTGCCTCCCGCTGGAGGTGTTCTGGGCACGTCCCATTGGTAGGAGGCCCCGGGGCAGACCTAGAACACACTGGAGGGATTACATATCTCATCTGGCCTGGGAACGCCTTGGGGTCCCCCAGGAGGAGCTGGAAAGTGTTGCTGGGGAGAGGGACATCTGGGGTGCTGATTTCTTCCACCTCTGCTCAAGGTTGGTCACAGTCACAGGCCCTGTATTATCAAAATTTACCTGTTAGAAAATACCTACAGCATAAAGTCTTTTTGAATTGAATTGAACTTCAAGCCTTGTTTCTTTGTATCTACATGTATGTTTCAGTACAAACTGCACTATTGTGGGCTGCAATCTAAAATGATACTGATTATTTTCTTTATTCTTTGGCTAAATCAGATAGATGTTTGGGAGACCAGAGGCAATTGTAACATCTCAACTTGCACCAATAGTTAATGAGATGGAACCATGAGCAGTAGGGTTCAGTTTGGTACACTTTTTTTCTGTTTCCACTGTGAAAAGTTGTGGATGGTACCAATGGAACTGTTCTGTACCGTCCCCATTTTTGGTCCCCCCTCTGTTGGGGTACCTAGCACACAGATCTGGTACTAAAAGGTGGAGCTGTGAACACTGCAGTCTGTTGATTGGTCAATAGAGGACGGTCACTCTGCTCAGGGCTGAGTTGTGGCTGGTTTTGAGGCTCATGTAACCA